CCCCCCCCCCCCCCCCCTCCTCTTCTCAATATCTTCCCCGTTGAAGTTTTTCCGGGGCATTCATGCTGTCAGAACGCATAGTTGCAACATGCGTCTGTGCATGGCACACAATTACGCGATGCGTAATTATGCACATGGGGAACTGAGTGGCAAGACGTTTTTTGGGCAAGCTTCCGCTTCTTACTGGGTTCGGATGGACCCAGTGAGGCGAGGACCACATCCGCTTCGCCCTTAACCCATCAGCGACAGCCTTAAAGGGCGAAGCCTATATGACATAGAACGTTGGTTACGTACTGTAACCCCAGATTCTATGAATATAGGCGTAGCCCTTTAAGCGTCGGGCCTCACTGGCTCCTGAATAGCTGAAGAAAAGAATAAGCTATTTGGGAGCAGATTACCCGCTCTTAACGTAATTTATACGGATCGGGTGGGGCCCACACAGCAGGTGGGCGTGGACTAATTTTTTCAGTATGATGCTTGCGCATAACGGGATAAACCCATCAGCGACAGCCTTAAAGGGCTACGCCTATATTCATAGAATCTGGGGTTACAGTACGTAACCAACGTTTTGATTAATGATTTGTTGAAACAGCTGAAAACTGCAGGATGAGAAACGATCACCGTAGAGAGAATACTTCATAAACCTTCACAGAATAATCAAATGTATGTAATATAATACTAGAATGCAGTGGTGGGCACAGCTAAACAAAACATTAGTTTCACTAACTACTATAATTAGCTGACTAAACAAAACTAGATTTGCTAACGCTAAACTGCTCAAGGGATAAAAAAGAAATGATCGGAAGCTAAAGCGCTAACTTTTATCATCCACTGCTGTCGCTGACACAACGTTGTCAGTGAACACCACTCGGCATGGACTCTAACACACTTCCTGTTTGTCCTTGTTGTGGATTGACGTGTTAACTTTCCTTCTGCAGTCGAGATGAACGGAGATGGATTGAAAAGCAGAACCGAGCTTCCAGAGCTCAGAGGAAAAAGGAGGAGATGAACAGGATCCGCACTCTAGTTGGTAAGTTGCTGTGTCCTTTAAGGGGGAGTGGTGGTGCAGAGGTTGGACAGGGTGGGCCTGTGATCGGGGGGTCGCTGGCTCAACTCCCCGGACCGACAACATCAAAATGTGGGTGGGAAGCATGAAACACCCAAAGCTGCCTCCACCCTCATTTGCCCCACTCTGGGCCCTTGAGCAAGGCCCTAGCCCCCACCATCTGCTCCCCCTGCTGAAGGGTGCGGGTCTTCTAAAGTGTGACTATGCTGCAGATACGGCGTACAGCTGTGACCCAAGGATAAAGAAATTCAAAGAAGAAGAAAAGGCGAGGAAAGAGTCTGAGAAGAAAGCAAAAGTTGAAGCCAAGAAGCGAGAGCAGGAGGAGAAGGAGAAGGTAAGTTCACGTCTGGTGTGAAGCATCTCTGCTGTTAAACACATTCACCATCGGCTGCTTCAGCTGACCACTCCTACATTACTTTCTGAATCACACTTTGGACATTTTTAATCCTTTCCTTTCTTGTAAAAGGCGCGGCAGGCGGAGCTGGAGGTGGTTCGCTTGGCGAAGGAGAAGGAGGAGGAGGAGGCCAGGCAGGCAGCCCAGCAGGCAAAGAAGGAGAAAGAAATCCAAAAGAAAGCCATCAAGAAGGAGAGGCAGAAGCTGAGGACCACCTGCAAGGTTCACGTTTACACCATGTTCATGAAGCGTTCGCTCTGCAGGGATCCATTGTTCTTCTGTACTTTTTTGGCGAGATTCTCATCCTGCAGTTTTCAGCTGTTTCAACAAATCATAAATCAAAACATTCAGCTGTTTCAACAAATCATAAATCAAAACGTTCAGCTGTTTCAA